CTGGGTGATATATTCTTCCTTGTATAATCTTTTACTAGCTCATGGGCAAGAAAGATGTTGTCAGCTATTTTCCTCCCTGGAATAAATCCAGCCTGGGCTTCACATATGATGTCTGGAACCACTTCTTGCGATCTGGAGACAATTATTTTATATAACACAGTACAACATGCAATAGGCCTATACTCCTTCACAGTGTTTGGCTTGGCAGTTTTTGGAACTAGTGTGATAGCAGTACAATTAATTGCCCTATAAAGTCTCCCAGTTTTGAAGAAATACTTAATTGTCACGATCCTAAACCCAAATCCGGTCGTGATGGCGCCTCTCGTGAAGACAAGTCCAGCCGACACACCACCAATTCACTTTAAGCAGTTAAAATAACAAATACCAAGTCTATAATAGAAATAAACTCCCAAAATAACAGTATTAGTTGCGGAATAAGGAAACCAACACAGCCCGACATCGGGGTGTCACCAGTCATGAGCCTCTAAAACAATACTAACAGTCTGAAGTCTAATCCAATACTACATAACTGAATCAAAAAGAGCTAAGATAGAGGGAGAATGCACTGGGCTGCGAATCGCCAAGCAGCTACCTAGTAAATCTCCGAAGACCTGCTGGAACTATCAACCCTCAGGAGCAGGACCTGTAGCGCCCGAATCTGCACACAGGGGTGCAGGGAGTAAAGTGAGTACTCCAACTCAGTGAGTAATAAAAATAAATGAAGATTGAGTAATATAAAATCACGTAAAGCACAACATTAAGCTAAAAGAGGCATAACAAATCGGTAAATATAATTAAACAGTGAAATCTCGTAACATCTTCCAAACAGTTAAACAATATGCAGGAAAAACAACAGAAAAGTAAACACATAATAACTGCCCCTCAGGCACAGTAACAACAGAATCAGCCCCTCGGGCAATGTCATAGAACAATACCAGCCCTGCGGGCTATATCTCATATCACAATGGGTACCCGCGCTCACTGGGGGTGTACAGACTCCGGGAGGGGCCCCTTACGGCCCAAGCGCATACTCAAGCCATCTCGTGGCATCATAAACAGGCTTTCGGCCTCATATAAATCTCAAGCCACCTCGTGGCGTACAATCTCAGGCCCTCGGCCTCATCATAAATCTCAAGCCACCTCGTGGCGTACAATCTCAGGCCCTCGGCCTCATTATCATAATCAATGTATCACTACTGCGGCGTGCAGCCTGACCCAAATGTATCCTCACAACACAAGCCCTCGGCCTTACTCAGTCAGAATCTCATAAGCCCCTCAAGCCACAGTAAAATATGAAGCTCAGCTCAAATACCTTTGAAAATATCATTTAATGTGTTTAAAACATAATAATATAGCTAAGTCTTTAAAGTAGTAAAATATAGTATGACTGAGCACCAGTATGAAATCAATCAGTGAGGAAAATATCATTTAAAAATTTCCTAAGGGTTCAAACAGCTGGCACGAAGCCCACATATGGCATTTAGCCCAAAATATAATAATATCAAACAATTAACTATCAAATACGCAGTAAAATAATCATTCGGGATGGACTAAGTCACAATCCCCAACGGTGCTCTACCTCACGCTCTTCATCTAGCGTGTAAGTCACCTCAACATAGCCGTACGCTGTGAAATTCTGGGGTTTCATACCCTCAGGACAGCATTTAAAATCATTACTCACCTCGAACTAGCCCGAAAAACTACTCCGCAACACGCTTGCCTCTCGAATCAACTTCCGAGTGCTCCAAATCTACCAAGTTCAGATTTTTATCATCAAATTATGCTAAACAAATGAATACCAATTGAAAAATATCGATTTTAAGCACGAAACCCGAAATCAGTCAAAACCCGTCCCCCGGGCCCGCGTCCCGAAACTGGACAAACTTTATACCAAAATGTTCTTCATCATCTCACGAGTCCGTACATATAAAGAACTCGAAAATCGGAGTTCGTTTGACCCCTCAAATCATCCCTGGAAGGTCTCATAATCTCAAGCCCTAACTCCACCTTTTTCTATTGATTTTCATGAATTAAACACTGATATTGTGTTCCTTAATCACAAATAATCGAGTTTTAGGGTCCAATCCTTACCTCAATTAAGAACAATGATTTCCTCTCTTCAAGATCGCCTCAAGGCTCTTTTCCCGTTCAAAAATGGTGTAAAAGGATTCCAAGTCGCGGAATAGCCTTTTTAAAACATTCTGCCCAGCTATTAAATTTCCTTCATCGCGATCGCGGGACAACCTTCGCAATCGCGAAGCACAATTCCTCAGCTCCCAAAATTTACTCTATGCGAACGCGTGAAATACCATGCGAGCGCGATGCTCAAGCATCTGACCCTACGCGATCGCGGACTGGCCAACGCGTTCGCGATGAACAGCTTCCATCCAAGACCCCCGGTCCACTTAACTCTACGCGAACGCGACCTTCACTACGCGTTCGCGATCAACAACTTCCTCACCTCTATGCAATTGCAACCCAACTTCCGCGAACGCGAAGAACAACTGGACTTCCCCCTCAAAACCTTCTACGCGATCGCGAGAGCCCCTACGCAATCGCGAAGAGGAATTCTCTGCAACAGCTGAACCTGAAATTCTGCAACATCTCCAAGGCATGAAATGGTCCAGTTGACCACCCGAAACTCACCCGAGGCCCCCGGGGCCTCAACTAAAGGCATCAACATATCTTAAAACCTTATTCAAACTTGTACCAATCTTCAAAACACTTCAAACAACATCAAATCAACCAAAACACATCGGATTCAAGCCTAAGTTTCTAAAATCTTCCAAATTCCGTTGTTGATCAAAAACCCAACCAAACCACGTTCGAATGAACTGAAATTTTGCACACACATCCCAAATGACATAACGAAGCTACTGCAACTTCCGGAATTCCATTCCGACCCCTATATCAAAATCTCACCTATCAACCGGAAAACGCCAAAAACTCAATTTCGCCAATTCAAGCCTAAATCTACTCCGGACTATGGGTGTCCAACGGGACGGGACGGGACGGGACGGGACGGGACGATTTTAACGGGACGGGACGGGACAGGACGAGATTTAGGCGGGACGGGACGAAACGGGGCGGGACAAACGGGACGAAACGGTCGTCCCGTCCCGTCCCGCCAACCAAACAGGACGGGACGGGACGGGACGGGGCGGTACGGGATGGGTCGCGGGACGGGACGGGTCGCGGGACGGGTTCGCGGGCCTTAGTGTATTTTTTTAAAAAAAAAATTCTAGTTTTTTGAAAATTACTATGTTTTTAAAGTTTGCAACGGCTAGATTTTTGACTTATTTAATAAACTTAAATATTACTATGTCAGTATGTTAAAAAGAAAATTAGAAAACTAAGTAAAGAATTATAAAATATTAAAACAAAAGACTTGTAATGAAATAATCTAGTAAATATAAATTTATAATAGAGTTATAATTTATTTAATATAATTTCAAAGTATTAACTATTAAGTAACACCGACAAATCATAAAAATAATTCATCTCTTAGAGCCATTTATTTTATTAATAGAACTTTCAAATCTCAAATACAAATACAATTCTTTTGAAGAGCACCTAATCTACGCAGCCACCTTCTAGGAAGGGTTCTGTTTGAACTAGGCCTCTTAGTAGCCAATTACAAATTATCATACTAATATTTGTAAGCTCCTATATAACTTCTTTGTAACTTATCAATAATATCTCTTGGACATTCTACTGGAATTGGCAATGTTGATTGATGTTCCATGAGCTCCATGCCATCATCGCTCCCAGTGGTAAGTATCTCGTTGTATTCTTCTTCCTCCCTAGTGGATAGTTTTTCAAAACCAAGATTTCTTCTTTCTGAATTAATCAAATCTCTGAATAAGACGGAAATCTCTAGACTGTCCTCCGCTAATGAATGTCTATGATCTCCAATTTGAAATCTTGCCGCGCTAAATGCACTCTCCGATGCTACTGATGATGATTGAATAGCCAGGATATCTCGGGCCATAATTGAAAGTGTTGGAAAAGCCTTGCCACGCTCCCTCCACCATGACAAAAGTTGTTNATGTGAAGAAGAAGAAAACGAGAAAAGGAAAAACCCGGGTACTTTCATATGCCTCTGTGAAGAAGAAGAAGAAGAAAACGAGAAAAGGAAAAAACTGGGTACTTTCAGATGCCTCTGTGTAGAAGAAGAAAACGAGAAAAGGGAAAAACCGAGTAAATAGTTTGGGCCCATGGGCAGGAATAGTAAATAGTTTCAGCCTGGGCATTAAAGGGTAAATAATATATGATTAATGGGTATAAAGTGAGATTTTCTCCTTTTATTCGTCATTCAATAGCCAAAGAAAATGACAGCTCTTAACAATTTTTTTTTTTTTTTCTCTTCTGCTTTAGTAAAGAAAGAAAAAGAGTGAACAAAACAAATAAAGTGACCAATTATTCTCTGTTGCGTGTCCCCACTTAATTACTCCATTTGTCAATGATCCACTTTCTTGCAAATGAGCGAAAATTAAATGTTTTTCGGACCATTTATACCTTTTGGGAAATTAAATTTCAAATAATAAAGATTTAATGGGTATCACTATTAAGAAAAATTACAAACGTAAAATGAAAGTTATTAATCCCTCTGTTTCATTTTATACATCAACGTTTGACTTGCATACGAAATTAAGGAAGAAAAAAGATTTCATAAACATCTCACAAAACAAACGCCTATAAGAATATATTATTAAGGGTAAAATGAGATATATAAAGTTAAAAAAGTATTCAAATATATAAATATGTCATTCTTTTTAAAACAGATTGAAAAAGAAAAAATATTAAATATATAAAGTGGAACATGGGGAGTATTAATATTCAACTTAATTTGATGCAACATATATGTGCATAAATGGTAAGTTAGATTAAAACGAAACAAAATAAATGAGTACTTAATTAAATTAGGTGCATGACAAGAGTATTAAGAGAAAATGAGTAATTAAGTAAGACAGAATTAATCATCAAAACATATAATTTACCTCCATTTAGCCAAAGAACAAGAGGTTTTGAAGAAGCATTTCCAGAAGAAGATTCAGCAAAGTAATAGAAAAGGTTTCTTCCATTATTTTCATCAACATTAACATATCCTGCATATTGCTTAAACATCACATTTGAAGGCTGCCCTGGAAGACCATCTTTAATTAGATCATCATCCATATTTCCGACATGTTTTTCATCGGAAAATACTAAGTTTTCTGTCCAAAATGTCTCATCCTCATGAGTACCATAAGTTCGAGCATGCATTTTAGAACGACGCCAAGACATTAATGTACGTGCCTGATCCATTTGGAAACCATGGCTAAGGCCATGAAAAGTAGTTAATGTAACAAGAAAAAACAAGTTCAACTTTGTGAGAAACAAATAGTATTTGTGTTCCTTCTCCATTATTTGAGTTGATGTTATGGAGTGCGCACTTTTGAGTTTTATTGGTGTTATTTGTGTAGTGGCTTGGGGTACGTTATATATAGAAAGTTTTCAGGCAGGTATGAGTAATTTGAATTGTCTTTTTTGAGGTATATAATCATACCTTATCTTTAACTCAGTTATTCAAGATTCCTTTTTTTTTATATGATTATAAACACTTACTGTTGCAATTCAGAAAACGACTCAGCTGGTTCGTCATCATGCCAACTCAGCATCCTACGTTAGTATCATCAAACTTACAGCTCCATCTCATGATGAGAATTTTTATAATATTAAATTATTTAAAAGATAACTATACGTAATTGTTCATAAAAAATAAAAATAAAAAAGGCATAAAAAATAAAAATAACCTCCTTTTTTACTATACCTAGAAGCTTTTCTTGACACAGTTACAAACAAAAGAAATTCAATTAAACCTCCTTCGTTTATATTGCTGAAATCTGAGAAATATAGCAATAATACTATTTTGGTCTTTCCTTGTTTTGTCCCTTTTTTCTTGGGGCGGCGTGACTAATTAAATTCCAGGATGTCGTGGAAATCTTGATCTTGGAGAGACTCATTACTGAGTGGAGATAAATTATACGCCCTCCGTTCACTTTTACTTGACATGTATACTAAAAATATATTTTCATTTTTACTTGTCACTTTACACATATTAAGAGAAGACAAAAAAGATTTCCATGTTATACCCACAGTATTTATTGCTCATTTCAAATCATTTTCTCATATCCAATAAAATATGCATCAATTAATATGGGTATCTTGGTAAATTATACACTTTATTTATTATTTTTTAAGGGACGTGAAAAGTCAAAACGTGCCAAGTAAAAGTGAACGAAGGGAGTATATAGAGTTACATCGTTAACTATGAAAGTCGTAAAGTAATAAATAAAATACGTCATCCGCTCAATTTAGATGAGGTAGTTTGATTCGGCACGGAATTAAGATTTTTTTTTGTGACTTATGATAGTTTTAGGAGTAAAAGCTTTGTGGGGCGCCCATGATATTTGTGTGGTTATAAAAGCTTCTCATTAAAGTTAAGATGGGTAAAATGAAGAGTTGAAAGTTGAATTATTTCCAAATTTAAAAATATGTCATTTATTTTGGAACATATTAAAAAAGAAAATACCTCATGTAATTTGAGACGGAGGGAGTAACTATTTCTTCAGAAATTGTTTATTTGTTTCTGGAAAAAAAAAAACCCATATCTTTTTGCACACTGTGGTTCGAATATTGAAAAGAAAAATGCATGATGGTGGGTAAAAAAGTAAAAAATAAAAGGCGATCAGTTGTATTTTACTTGTCGAAATCTAAATGCATGTGATTAAATGCGACATACGAGTGTGATTTTCTACAACAACTTTTTTGCTTTTCCATGTAGTGGTGGTGCGAAAGTGAGAAGGATATATGTAAAAGAATAGCCCGTGTTTCACGAATTTGTAATTATTTCTAATGATGCGTCTATTAATCCAATTTTGACCCATGACAGAAGATAGTGGACTAGTCAGTCATACTTGGCTAATGATGGACATTTTAGCAATTATTGCTCAACCCCTCAACCAAATGAATCTGCACAATGTTGTGTTTGCATATAAATTTTTAATGATTAAATATAATTAATTAATAAGTATACATTCTTACTTTATTAAATCACTTAAAAATATAATAATCTAACATGATTTGATGTAAACACCCCAATAAACTTTTGAACTATCTCGAAACACACACAAGAAGAAGAAGAAGCTACTACGCGTTTGGACTTTGGTATGGCATGCCTCATCCCCATAAGGAACAGGATGGTGTTGTGATGAATAATGGATTATTCTTTTTTCCCTTTCAATCTAAGAAGGTTGACGTTAGTCGTTAGTATACCATTCTTTTTCGTGAGAAAAGTCTACACAATAGATGTCACAAAACAAATTTACCTTAGTACACCATAGTGCCACAGCAAATCTACTCTTATGCAAATTAAGGACGAATGATGGTCCGTTTAATTTAAACTTTGTTGTTGCTAGTAGATTGAAATTTGAAACTATCTTTCATCAGTATGGTCATCAGATTGCCCTCTATCAGGAATTAGTAGGATTGCGTAATATTAAATGCTCTTGATATATTCATATTTCATCAAGGCCTTCTAAAATTGTTTACATGTAAGGCCATCTGGAATGTTTCCGCAAATTACTGAGCTCAACCTTGACTAGTTGGCATTTCAAAATAGAGCCACCATGATACAACAACAACAAACCTAGAATAATCCCACAACGGAGGAGGATGGTGTGTGTGAAGGCAAAGAGATTATTTCCGATAGACGCTCGGTTCAAAACTACGATAATAATTGGAAAAAAAAAGAACAACAAAAGATAGGAAACTGAACGTTCAATAATTTCTGAACAAAGAAGTTCTGATAATCACTCCATAATATCAACAAGGCTATCACATTACAATCAAAATGGTGAACTATAAGTCGTCCAAACCAGTACCTTAAACCCTAGTATCAAAAATCCCTAGCCCCCATTTCCAAAGCAAAACACATCAATACCCAAAAAGAGATAAAAATCAAACCTCATCTTCATGAAGGAGCATATTGGGAATACCTTTAGTGACAGGAAATTTGCGGCCAGTCTCGGGACAAACCAAGGCACCCTCTTCAAGATGAAGCTCAAGAAGGGCATGGTGGAACTTATGAAGAAAATCATCAGACTCGAGCATAGCCGCATCAGCATTTTCAGGCAGCTCGGCATAGCCCATGGTTCTAGAAGCTTCCGCCAATGCCTTCCATTCAACCTTATAAAACATGTTCTTGAGGAAGTCGATGTTGAAATCGACCTCCTGCTGTACCACTTTCTCAACTTCAATCTTTAGCGGGAATCCATTTGCGACTCCCTTGATGTTGGATGAAAGCATATTGTGAGTTAATAGCCTCATCTGCATATGAATTTCATAAATTAAAAGTAAATTTGCGAAAATTCCCAATCGAAAAATATTTAACCATTTAACTTTCAATATATGAAGAGAATGCCGCAGGCAAGCCAGGAAATTGAAGCAAAAGTTAAATTAGTATTACTTGGAAGTAGGAACGATATTAGGAGTGGGTGTTCGGTACTTCGGTATGGTATTTAAGAATTATGTCGGAATTTCGGTATCTGGTATATCAATTGTACATACCAAATACCGTACCAAAGTAGTTCCGTATGGTTTGGTATTTCTTGTTTGGTTCCGGTAGCCAACCAAACTAAGCTCAACTAATTTTAGCATTAGTATAAAACGTTAACATAGCTGGCCAAAACAGTTTTCATACTTTTACTAAAAAAAATTTCAACATCAAACCTTGAAATAGGAAAGCACTGTTATGGAATTATAGACCACGGATCTTTAGCCTCAACTACGCCTTGTAGTCCTTGTATTTTTCAAAAAGCAATTGTGATTAGAGTTAGAGTTCAGTGAAATGATATGTTCTGACATAAATTTTGATATAGTACAATTACAAGTTAAAGCGGAGGAGAAAAAGAGTCCCAAAAATAGCGACGCAAACTGGCAAAGAATGAAGAATTCCCCGACAAACCACCACCTAATTACAATTTAGAAGCTAATTGAATATGAATCTAGTAGGGTATTAGAAACAGGTAAACACGATCAAAGAGTAAAGACCAACTTGGAAACAAGGCAGCGACCTCCAAAAAGGGAAGGATTCTCTTCTTTTCTTAAACTTCTTAGTATTTAGGAGCCAGATTGCACCATTGAAAAGTAGTATTGATATATATAGTGTTAAAAGTTCACAGAGAGCAGCCATCCCTTATTGTCTGGCCTATTTAAACCAAAACATAGAGTACCCTACTATTTACCTATCATTTGAAAGACTTATTTATTCCCATGGGAAATGCATGTTAACAGGTATAGTAAGTTAAGCTACTTCTCCTCAAAATTGTTATGAATTGCTTAACTATGATAGACTAGCCAATAGTCGCTAACAAAATAATCTCCTGCTTACAAGAATCTTTCTATATACAATGTCAAACTAGATATTAAACTACAACACAGAACTATGTATATTAGTGGAAGTTCACTTCTGTAGATTTTGGCACAAAATGAACCTATTCTACCTCAGTACCTAATACATCAGGTAAACAAACATACCAACCAAAGTTTATAAACATAATGCTTAAAAATTCAATGCAACGATGAAATAATAACACAAATTCTATGACAAATTTTAAGTACATTAGGCTCATAGTTAAACTTGATTGGATGAAATCACAGAAAAGACGAAGCAACAATATTACATTTGGAACACTTCTCTTAGAGGCGTTTGGTTCTGCTCCAAAAATTGAGAGAAAGAATCCAATAGCGATAAGATTACGTGAAGTCATAAACACACGAAAAGAAGATGAACACTGCCCTAATTTTGAGATTTAGGGCAGAAATAATTCGAAAATAGAGAGAAAAAAACTCACCGAGATAAAGTTGCCTGGAGGTCACCGATGGCCGCTTAGAACATCGGCGGGAGCGCTGCGTAGAGAGTTCGCCGCGTAAAATCTGGAGGGAGTTAGCGCTTCCCAGTGGGGGAGGAAAAGCGTAAACAGGGAGAAAGGTGTTAGTAGGGTTTTGCTCTTTTCCCCAATTCCTTTGCCCCGACTTCTAATTACAAGCTAATGTTAAAAAAGAAAAAAAAAAATTACTATTGATAATTTAATTACCTTATGCCGCTTACTATTGCCAACTCCAACATCAAAGGTGTGGGTTTTTCTACTTTGATTTTTAAATCCAATTCTAATTAATTTATTTTATCATCATTCTTTATTATTATTTTTTCTATTACAGCTTGTTTGGATGGTTGTTACCTATCGTATCATATCGTATTGTTACTTTAAATATAATATTTGTTTTGATTGTTACTTAAATTTTATTATATCGTATCGTTAAATCCGTCGTTACGTAATGATGAAATGTGCCACTTTATGTAACGACCGATTTGGTGTGGTCGTGCCGTTTCCTTGTGTTTTTCTCTCAATCCCACCCTTCATTATTATTAAATAATTTTATTTTATCATTTACCCTACCTTTTTATATACCGTATCATAATTTTTCTTTATAATATTGCAAGTTTATTCATCATATCACAGGTGCGTGATACCATGAAACGACGCCAAAACGACACAATCCATCCAAACATTGTTCATCAAACGATACAGTACAATCCAATACAGTACGATACGATACATTATAAAACGATACGTAACAACCATCCAAACAAGCTGTTAATATCATCGTTCTTTATTTTTTGCCTAATAATAGTTAATCTTTTTCTTCAAGTTTTTGCTCTTGTTTTCAAGCGAGTGTACTTAATATTTTGTTTATTATTTTATTATTATTATGATCTAATTATGAATGAAGTGTACTTATTATTATTTTTAATATTATCAACGCGTTCCCCTAATTTGATAGAATTTGCGTGAATATAATTGTTTAATTTATATATAAGAGATAATTGGTGATAAATTAGTAGAAATGGGTTTTCATAAATTATTTTTATGCGTAATTTTTTTTTATAAATTTAATATTTAAAACACTTGAGGGTATTTTAACAAACTTATCAGTTATAATACAATAGATACAGTCAAACCAAACAGCAAAATGTTATTTAACAACATCAAACAATACAATCTATCCAAATATTATATTAATAAAACATACAATACAATATAATACAATATAACACGATAGGTAACAATGATCCAAACAAAGTGTAAAAATCAGAAAATATTTTTGATGAATATACAGTCTCATCTTTTTGACGCTTCTATCTTTGCATATTTTCGCTCTGGATACAAGAATCTTTTGCTTCTAAGAAGATGCTGAACAATGACATAGAGATAAATCGATTACGAAGCCATTTCTAGCAAGACAGGCAGATCAAACAGGATTGATAAAATGGAGAACTCATGGCGTATTTTGTTCAGCACGAATGTTTCCTCATTTCTTGAACCTAGCCAGTTGGTTTTGTAAGTCTATAAATAAATAAATAAAATAGATGCAGAGACAGAGACAAAGAGATGGAAAAAAGCAGTAGAAAAATCGAAATTCACCAATCATTCTAAGTTTAGGTTTAACATATCTTGGACTCACTAAGCATAAAATAAAATCCAGCTACAAAATTCTCATCAAACACTATATGCTTTAAGCTTATAAGTCAAATATAAATTTGATCCCCCAAAGTAGAAGAAGAGAGAGCAGAGCTATGGCAATCTCTCATTTAGCAGCAGAGTCCACTAGAGATCAGCTAACAGGCTGCTGGTGATTCCCGTATCCATTAGAGGATGCTCCGTAAGCTGCTCCAGTAGCATACATGCCAGAATCCTGATTTTGCGATGCACCATATCCATATCCTCCATAATTTTGCCTTCCATTATAACCCCCATTCCATTGACTACCAGAATCAGTTCTCGTCTGCAAAAGTAGAGAACAAATAAATGGGTTGTAGAAGACATTGTACCACAAGGACAAATAAAGGTGAAAGCTTTTGTAGAAAATTAGAGATCATTCAGTGAATGAGGTTGACTATTGGAAAGGTTGCATTGTCGGACATTTGGTCATTTTGGAAAAGGGTCGAATTTTAAAAGGTCACAGACTGATCAGATCACCTGCCTTGTCATTTAACTGTTCTATTGGGAAAGCAGGCTGATTTCTCTTCACTTTTTTAAAAAATTCTTTTTTGATCAAGACTTGATATTTTCCATTAAGAATATTCCTGTGGGAAATACCTGCTTGTTTGCTGGACTTCGCCCCCAGGAAAGACGAACTGCCTGCTTGCCAATTATTGCTCCACTTAATTTCTGTATCGCTTCCTGTGCAGAGCTCCTACGGAACATAAATACCCAGAAGGTAGTCAAGCATGCTGCCTTGTTTTTAATTATTACAAGAAAGATCAATTTCACTAATTGCACCAACAAGGTACAGGTATGTACAGCAAAAAGATCTTTTAATCCGTTAAACATGTAGGAATTGGAAAAGTCAGCAAAAAATATTTACATCTTGATTGTGCTGCAAGTTGCACAAAGAATATATAATATTCTGCATGCTACATTTTAAGGCTTCAAGTGTAAGACTACTCTATTTTATAAATTAGCAATAACCTAAAAACTTCGTGTCTTTTCCCAGTTTAACTGCCTGGGTTTACTACGGTATTCTGGCAGTATGTTCAGTTTTATCTGTTCATAAGATTTGGTTTTTACTAACAATTGTATTCCCTTTCAAGCAAGTTACACGGGACACTTGGGGCAGTTCAAAATTCATGTCCTAACCAAAAAAAGGAAAGAGATCTCATATTCAGAAAAGTTCTTCTTCTACTTACATACAATTTTCTACTGTCACTCGGAATCCAAAAGGAAATTTACCATCTAGCAGTGAACCTTGTGGCCCGACGGATAAAGTGAGAGCCCCAATAACTTTTTCGTATTGCTAAGAAATTAAAGGCCAGTTGCTAATAGTCTATTGTTGCTCGCACACTAAAGTTAGCAACAGAAGATGGTGGTGATGAGATTTGCTGTGTTAAAGTTACTTTGAAAGAAAGAACTTAATAGAATCTTGCAGAAGGAGCTTAGTCAGATAGAATAAAGGAAAGAAATATATGTGCAAACATAAGATATAAAGAACAAAAATGAAGCTGAGTTGATAACTGTCAACAGCAAGGAAGAACCAATGCAGTATTGGATGGTTGCGGAAAAAAGAAACAAAAAAAGGGTAGATAAAGCAACCAGCTTTACAAATAATAAGTTGGCAGAATGTAAGGTTAAACGATGGACCAATAGGAAACAGAGTCTAACTTCACAATCTTATCAAATATAAAAAAATGAGACTCATATTCCGTCAAAAACAGCAATTGCACACAATTTACACAACATTTTATCCTCAGATCGTATTTGTGTTCAGTCCTAAGCAACTTTTCAAAAATCAAAAACCAAACCACTCATCTTTTTAACTCAATATCTAGGATTAGTCCTCCTACTTGTTGCAATTACCTTTTCTTGTCCACTCGTTCTCTAGCCGAAGGTCTATTGGAAACAGCCTCTCTGCCCTTCCAGGGGTAGGGGTAAGGCTGCGTACATCTTACCCTCCCCAGACCCCACTTGTGGAAACTACTGGATTTGTTGTTGTTGTTGATGTATCTAGGATTAATCCATTTATTTAAATGGTACACTATCAAATGACATTAAATGCTGAAAAATACTGAATTTATCTACCAATCAGTCTCCATGCCTCAATACTCGTAACATCAGTTCTCTCACTCTCAATGTCTCAAACAATGATACACTAATAAAAAGTTCACAGGCTACTTAACTACGTTGATTTTCATGTCAAGCAATATAGCTACTTACCTGTCAGAAAATTGTACAAAACCACATCCTTTTCCAGCGGGTATTTTCACAGAGACCACTTCTCCAAACTGATTAAAGGATTGCCTAAGTTCCTCATCAGTGACTTCAGAATCAAGTCCTCCAACAAAAATCTACCACAAATAAAAGTTAGAACAAACAACTATTTTCTATAAGTATTAGTTGATTAAAGAGTTAATTAACTAACATATGACCAACTTCCACAAGAAAAAGGAGCACTTACTGTAGTGTTTGATGAATCACCATCGGACTGGGATCCATGGGTTGCAGCACCATTTGATGCATATCCACCAGATAATATCACAGCTGAACAATTAGAGTAAGAAGTTCCAGCTTCAATATAAAAGTTAAACATGACATTTAAAATATGACGCAAACATGAAACTGTTAGCACATAGGTAAGAAATAACTGGTCACAATAAACTACAAGAAGAAAATCAAGCTCAATAAATCTAGAAAAATTTGGTGCATCCAGGCTTTCTCAATGTTTCGACCATCAATGTGTGCATGTTTTGCTACCAATAACTTGTTCAGCCAGGTTAAAAAAAATTTACTGCCCTGCTCTAAACAACATATCATACTATGTTTTTCAAGCAACAATTCGTAGTTTTTTCGGTTTTTTGGAAAAGATAAAATTCGAACATTTAAGAAGTAAAAAAGATTCCACAAGATGCAAAAAATGTTAAAGTATCTTTAAATCGCTTTGGTGAAAAATATGTATTTGAATCTTGAAAGCAGAAGTCATTTAATATGGATGACAAGATTATAAACAGCATATATTGATGGTCATCTGATGATTGTATACTTAGTTTACCAAATGGCTTGCCGGGGAACGATATCACGTACCTTGGGAAGAATATTGTTGCTGCGCTGATGGTTTCTTTGGGGTAGCAACACCAATACGCATGGCCCTGCTGGAACAATATACACCATTCATTTCAGTCATGGCCCGAGACCTCTCGCTTTCATCACCAAACCTTACAAAGCCATAGCCTTTTGAGTGGCCTGTGTTTGCATCTACTACTACTTTTGCACCTTTAAGAGATGGAAATCTACTAGCGAATGTGTCACGCAACATTGTGTCAGTAACATCAGAAGCCAAATCTCCTACAAAAATCGAGAAATCAGAACCAGTTTCTGCACGCTTTTCACCAGTGCTAAAGCCTGCCCAGTTTAAACGGAAGGGTTGCTCTGCGTTAGGCATCATAGTGCCATTGTAGCTCTGTAGCACTTTCTCCGCTGCTGCGTGAGTATTGAACTCAACAAATCCATAACGCTCTGATTGACCAGTCTGCTTGTTTCGAATAATTTTCACAGAAATAACCTGCATGATATATGACACATAGTCAGGTACTATTACAGAGTGCAACGCTTAAATTGCAAACTAATAATCAACTATTGTACTCTATATGTGCAGTGAAGTGATGTATAAGCTTGAACAAAATATGCTTGAGATAATTTTATTTCAACCACAAAATAAAAGGTTCCCACAAGATTACAGTCATAGAAAAGGCTAAGGAATTCTGGAAAAGGAAAGCAAAACTTGCTAGAATTCTTTAAATGCAGTTGGTCCAATTTCAGGTCCATCACTAATCACTGTTTTGAGAAAGGAAAAGCTTTTTGACATCCTCATTTACTCACATTCTCTAGTGTTTTACCATTGAACAAGCTAAGATCAAAGCTTCTTGCTTCAAGTTTAGTAGCTATAGCAATATCACCAACCTCTGCCACAAATAATCCTAAAACAAGAACTACTACAACTAATACATCAGCTGAGATATTCTCGAAAATTCAAAAACTAAGACATTTTCTCTTCACCGCTTCTCATTCTCTTTCTTCTTTCCTTCTCTTCTTCACTCCTTTCTCTTTCTATTTTCCCAGAGCCTCATCCCTCCTTGCCATCACGTACCTCCTAGACTTCTTCTTTAAAACATTTTGGCCTTCTTATTCTTCTAAGTTCCCTCCAACAATATACCATACACTACCACCTGAAACAGCTTCCTCTTTCTTTCTGTTTCATTCTTCGCCTTCTTGCTTCTCCTAGAGACTTGCCATTTTGGGCTTCTTATTCTTCTAGCTGTTTTCCGGTAATGAGAATTCTCACAAAGCTAACAATACTTATGTCTCAATCTAGTTAAATTTATCATTTCTACTGACTCAAAACCCAACTTTGAACCCAAGGTGAATTTCTACGACAAACTGGATACCGAGTTAACTACTTGATAATGTCCTTTTAGAATGTAATAGTCAGAAGTTAAGTCACGGAAACTGCATTTTTTCTTTTTATATTCAAATGCATTTAGAATCCTTCTTAGAAACCAACATTTTTGTGTGGGAGATATTTTTAGCTTAACAAACTAGACTACAATATTTGACTCGGAATTCTCCACACTTTCAAAAGGAAAAGTACCCTAAGAAAAATAGAGGTGACACGATCCGAAGGATTCTTCTTTGAATCTCAGACTGCTGCATTGACTCGGATCTCAGTGAAGGTCAAATCTCGTTCGCAAATAATAGCAGGTTAAATATGGCGAGCTTCTTCACCTTAACCATGAAACAAGATTTGGCGCTTCCCATTACATTTAATTGACTAAAGATAATAAAGAAATTAATCACGAAAATCAACTACTCCAAACAGCTAACAAAGTAGAAACTGATATTTGACCCGGAATCTTCCCTTTTAGATGGCCAGAGGAGAAACCCCCTAATAAAAAGAGAGACGACACAAGATCCCAAAAATTCTACTTTGAATCTCAGACCGCTGTATTGACTGGGATCTCAGTAAGGTGAAATTATGTTCCCAACTAATAGCAAGTTAAATAGGGTGAATGAGTTCTTCTTAAGTACTCACGTGATTTAATTACTTAAATAGCAAGAATCTTAACTATGATACACGATTTGGCACTTCACATTACTTATAAATGACTACAATCGTTAAAGCAATTAAATCACGTAAATCAACTGGTACAAACAGCTGAACAGACATTTAACGAGAATAAAGACAAGTCCGGTATTGCTACGAAACTAAATTGAAAGAGATGAGCAGAAAAGAAAAAAAAGCGAACCTCGCCAGCCTGAGAAAAGCAAGAATGAAGATAACTTTCATCCATCCACTGCTGAAGATCGCCAATCCAGATCGTTTTATTATCTTCAGATGAGCTCTGAATCTGAGCAGGAGACTGCTGCATCTTCTGCTGCTGTTGATGTTGCTGATAGTAAGGCATGTATTGCTGACCATACATCATCTGTTGCTGCATCGCCATTGCTGCTGCTGGATACTGCATCGCCATCCATTGCTGCTGATACTGCTGCATCGCCATCCACTGCTGTTGTTGTTGTTGCTGCTGTTGTTGCTGCTGCTGTTGCTGTTGCTGATTCATATCTCCTCCGTTCATTTTCCCACCAATTTCACTTATCAATTTTACCACTTCTTCCTCTCTCTCTCTCTCTCTCTCTCTGTTTCTCTCTCTAGTTGCTTCGCGCTTTTTGCAAGGAAGTTTTAGAGAGAGAGAGAATGAATAATGGGTATCTGGGTCACGAGAGAGAGGAAGAAGAAAAGAGGGACACTAGAACAGAGTCGGCTTACTATATAACGAAAAGAGATACTATGGAGATCTAGGGTCTCACTCTCGTGCGTAACGACGTTCAATTTTAACCATCCGATTCAGATGCGAGGGTTTGAGGGCGGCCGTTGATGATTAAGTTTAGAGACAAGTTGGTTGTGGGACCAACTGATACGCGGTGGCAAACGTGGGTCCCTTTCTTGTCGTAGCTTTTCTTTGAAGTCAAACATTTATCGGCGGTTCGTGAAGGCAACCGTCCATTTCGTACATGATATTTTGAGCTAACGTTAAAATGTTGACAGGAGAAATTTAATCAAACTTATTGTGTACTATTAGCTACGTAATTCAATCAATACATTAAATTTGTTTTCGGAAGCGCTGTTATTATTCCCTCCGGTCCAAATTAAGTGCTTTTTTTTTGGATGTTTTTACACAAATTAAGAAATTCACCTTTTAGTATTAATTAGCAATAGAATTGACCATATTAACATTTACTATCTCACATAAACACTCCTAACATATATTCCAACATCATTTACTTCAAGGACAATGTAGGAAAAAAATAATTAATTCATTCTTGAAATCTGAAAAAATCACTTATTTTGGACCTAAAGAAAAAGACCAAAAAAATCACTTATTTTGGACCGGAGGGATTACTTAACTACAGTTAATTAACACTTGTTTTCACTTCAATTTATTAGTACTATTCGGTGAAAACATGGATCCAGACAGTTTTTACCGTTGAGTGGTTGTTTGTATTCATGGCCAGCATGTCGTCGCGCATAAGCACATGCTGGTCATCTGTCCATGTTGACGTGTGAAGATGTCGCTAGATTTTACAACTCCGTTCCGTTGCTTTCACGGTGTGTCTTGGTCTCAAAACGGAGTTACAGAATAAATCACTTGTTGAAAAACTTCTACTAATACTCGATCAATTATAGTACTAGATCTTCTGAATTATTATTGCAAAACTTGGAAATATGAACTTGTCGATTTTTTGTCCTCGAAAACAACTGGACAGTCGAAGGCATCATCTGATTGGTGAACATTGGATCTAATGTGGGGTTCACATTTTCTTCTCAAAATTTTTTAAAAAAATAATATATATATAATATATATAATATATATATATATATATATATATATATATATATATATATTCGTCAAAAGATAAGGTAACATTTTAGCAACTTATTGGCATTCTTACATATATATATATTCGTCAAAAGATATGGTAACATTTTAGCAACTTATTGGCATTCTGATTGTATGTAGTAAGAAAATTGTCTTTCTAAAATCATATAATCCTTTATGGTTGGTACAAAGAATAATTATACGATCGTTGGTTCCTTATTTCAGTTTAAAGCTTATGAGACTCGTATATTTCATTTATGAAGATAAATAAACCTTAGGAAACCAAAGGAGATGATTCATTTAATTGTCTTGTTTAAAAGGGAAAAAAATGCAACAACCCAACTAATTAAATTAAGCTTGAGACTTTTAATTAATAAACACCTCTTCAAAAGCCTACTTGAGTGCTAAGGGGTAAATGATGGGGGTAATTGATCATGTTTAACCCATGCTATAATCATGAGTAGAGTTAACAACACTACATTTGTACTAATATATGCACTTCTTAGGCCAAACTATATATATTCTTGAAAAAAGTAAAAGAATAATATGTGCAAAGTAAATCACATTCACTTAAAATTCAAGTACGCACAATTCTGAATTCGCCTCAACTTTTAATATGAGGTGATTTTTCTTTTTTGAGATTTAACCTAATTGGTAATCTCAATTTTACTCATTCTTTACATGGTGGCCAATATAATTCGGTTATGAGCAGTAGGAGTAATGGTATTCACAGCTTGATTTCGAAATCGTAATGGACTATGACACATGTGTGATTTACCTACAGTGGAAGATGCAATGCCACATTGAATTAATATCATATTTCCAAAATGATGGGAGAAGAAAAGGTTCAAGATCAAAATTGCTAATTTCATTAAAACCTCCTTCCTCTTGAGCCGAGGGTATTTCCGAAACAACCTATCTACATCCCATAAGGTAAGGTCTGCGTACACATTACCTTCCCCAGACCCCACTTGTGGGATTCCACTGGGTTGTTGTTGTTATCGGCTTAGAAAACCTATTTAACATGAAGAGTCAAATACATACCCAAAATTGATTACCTGAAACGAGGGGAACTCGAGGACAGCCTGCTGAAACCAAAATCTTAACCAGAAGTTCCCCTTTTAGCTTCTGCTTACACATAAATAATGAAAGAATAAAGTTAAACAACACAAGCTACATATACACTAGCACTGCACATTTATATTTTGTAATCTGCGTGTAGGAAACTTTCATAAGATGTTCCCTTGAGTGTCTTTTCAACATCGCTCCAATTTTCAACTTGTGAAGACAATGGCCCCTTATGTATCTTCACTTGACGACTATGGAGGTCCATTCTTGGAACCTTCAGGAAATCTTGCACATCATTCAGTATCTGTGACAAAACGATAGGAAGTAAGCATATAAAACAAACTTCCTCACAAGAGAACCAAAATATCAGGGATATAGTAGAATATACAATTTCTTACAGTCCGATTTTTTATTATGTCCTCATAGAACAAGATTATGTGCCGAGTGCTCTTAAAGTACTCCAAAGCGCTAGCAGCCATATCCTGTACTTGTTTCAGGTTAGCGATCAACGTGGTTGTGTTTATTGTAGGCTTGTAACTTGCAAGTATCTCAGCCTGCAAAACATGATTGCTTAAGACAGCATGAAGACATAAGCATGTGTTTCTAAATCATACAGATTTATCAGACTGACCTCCACAGGAGAATGCACATGAGACTTATGGGTTCCGTTTAACAGCTTAGCATTCTGATCATAGGAATTTGCTAGTATCGAAACCATTCTGCGCAAAAGATTTCTTCTGAAGAGAAAAATTGCAGAAACTCCTCTCCTTTTGAAGTACTCAACAATTTCCTCATGATGCTGCAATAGACCCTGTAATAACATAGAAATGCCCATGCAGTCCATCATGATCCATAACCATGACATGAGGAACCAAGCCACCAAAGAGTAAGGTAATTTCAGAGTTTACATGATCTAGTTCTTCACAAGGTAATGTATCGTGTAGACCAATTTTTACATGATTTAGTTATCATAAGGTGATGTATCATACAAACCAATTTTCGCAAATATTTTCTACCTAGTTTCCGTTGTACATGGGCGGATCATGGTGACATTGGATATGGCTTCCCGCAAAATACTACTCCTATATGTATCTACGAGATCAAGTATGAAATTCTGTTTATCACTTTAAATTGAGTATCTGTTTCCCTCCCTTTCTAGATAGGATTGGAAATTTGTATCTTACATATCCATAGGATTGAGTCCCTTTCTAGCCAAGTAATTTTGGATTTTAATACATCTTTACTTTTCAAACGAAACAGGTTGGGTTTGTGTGTGGGGTGTGTGTGTGTGTGTGGGGGGGGCAAGCATGTTGTATCTGGGAACTTTTCGTATTTTTCTACTAAAATACACATCACATACTTTTTTCCCTGAAATCACAATGCTTGTAGTACTTCGAGGATTGGTATTTTCGCATGGTACAAAATATCAGCATCAAATATTCAGAGGATTGGTATTTTCGCATGGTACAAAATATCAGCATCAAATATTCAATATGATTCCACATGATCTAGTTTCGTTTGAGCAAAGGATTTCGAGTCCCTATCTACTCATTATTCCGGTACTAGTGTTCCATCTACTATATACCATATTAAAGCGGCAGACAAGTGATAAGAAACCATCTTAACTTAACTAATTATGCAAGTCCAGAATTGCAACGTGATAACTACATATTCAAACACATACATACAGTTTGGTGAATGAGAGAACGAGTATAAGTAAAAGACCTCGACCCAAGTTCTGAAAACAAAGCTAGCATGTTTCACATATGAACCAACATATGAAGAAGAAGAAAAGAAACGCTTCAAGACGAGCTAACGCAGCTAGGTACTGAATACTCCATTGTGAAATTCCACCAACAATCTTCCCCTTTTTAGTTCCTTAATCAAAATTATGTGTTTATCACTACCAAATGACAGCTTGATGAGAAGACCAAATTTGGATGATAGACAGACAAGCCAACTTCACATTTGAAAAATCAAGCAGCAACCTCGTATATCCACAATATAAATCACTAACGACTAGCACACAATGTTGATAAAATGAATCAAGTTTACAGAAGATTTTCTATAAATTATACTTACGTTTGCTACATAGTTTATGTTCTCGTGATCACATATTTAGGAACAGACATGACAAATAGAAATTTAAAAATGGCACCCACCTGATTAAGCATCCACTTCAGTCCAACTGCAGCTGTGCATTCATTCTTGGAAGCGCTGGTCAAAAACTCTAGGTTATAGAGTTTGTCCAATGTTTCCAAAATCGTCGATGCATTAACTTTCCGGGCTTTAGCAGAAAAAATCTCCCCATTAGAGCTTATATTCATATGGCTGTTCAACAATGTTTCAAACCATCCACTACCAGACCTCTGAGTGGACAAAATTGCGAAAAACCTTACAGGATTGCACGCACACTCAGCCCTGATACAGCAGGATTTAGTCAGTAATTTTATCCACAATGAGATACTAAACATACAAATAGTTTGTCAATATCTCACCTGCTAAAAGTTTTTGGCTTGGGGAAGTGCAGATAAGGTTTTTCTGAAGGTTCAATATTCGTCGCCTCACATGGCCTTTCAACCACATGAACACTGGTCACCGGTCCACTGGAACGCGAACCAATTTGTTTCAGACAAATTGAACATATATAAATCCCACATATCATTGCAAAAAATAAGACCACCATTCTCAGCAGCAATGGAGATTTCTTTGGTGGCTTTATGATGAAAGTATCCTGGAATTGAATCAGAAGTTAAAATGCTTGAGATTTTATATTTCGTGTTGCTACATCAAATTTTTCCTTCAGATTTCAACAAAACAAATTCGTCTCCGAAGTTATTCAAGCAAAACAAAAGACAAATGGAATCTAAGTAGGTTTTCATCAAATTGGAATGCAAGATACAAGCTAATCAAAATTTATTTTTCACACTCTACAGATGAGGAAAGATACAAGAAATAAGAAGTGAAAAGCTCAAATTTGAGGAAACATTTGCGATGAAGAAGAAACCCAGATCAACACAGCTCGAGTTGTCATAACAATACATACAGTTGTGTATATAGACAAAGGAAAAAACTTTTATGGAAAAAAAAGACTTTAAAAATAAAATTACACACTGTTGATATAAAAACAAAATGATATATAGAAGAAGCAAGAATGTTAAACAAAATAGGAAAAAGACATATTACCTTGGTGAAGAAACAGAAATTGTCAGCCATAGTTTAATGCTCAAAAAGGAAGATAAAGAAAAGGCATTTGAGGGATACCCAGATTCAAAAAAAAAATCCCCTTTTTCTTTCTAGCTTTATTCATCTTATTTCTCCACTCCTTCTTCTCAATACAAGCAGACACATTTATTCATGTATACAGTATATATATGTAGAAAAAGAGAGCTGGGGTAAGCTTTTTCTCGTGAACAACACTATAATGAGAGTGTTCTTTAATGAGTCTTTTGTTCAATTTTCACGCTCCTCCTTTTTGCTTTCTTTTTTCTCTTTTTTTGAGCTTTTCTTCTGATTTACACCTCTTCTTCCTCTTTGCAAATTTTGTGGAATCCCAAGTCAGGTACGATCCGAATCCGAATGAAAGGAAAAAAACAGAAAATCATATGACAACGGCGTCGTTTTAATCGGGCTTTGATTTCGTCAAGGAAATTCAGTGCCCGTTTGGACATAAAATTTTGATAGAAGATTTTCCTAAAAAAAATTCATTTTTTTTCGAAAATAGCATTTGTTCATAAAATTTCTAAATTTCATTTGAAGATGCATTTTGGAAATTTTCGAAAATTTAAAAAATTGCAAAAAGTTGTTTTCAAAATTTTCACTCAAATCACTTACAAAACTTAAAAAACAACCTAAACTGAAATTTATGTCCAAACACAACTCTAAATTTCAAATACCATTTTCACTTGAAAAAAATTTTCACAATTTTTAGAATTTTACAATTCTTATGTCCAAACGCCTACTTAATCATTTACTCGCAATTTCACCACTCTTCATCCTTAAAAAAATTACACGTTTTTTATTTATTACCGTTTAGTTTATCTACCGTAGCTCATGTATCCACATGAAAAAGGATTAACATACACCGTATTTTATTTGGTCCTAATTTCTACTTATTTTGAACTTTTTGACATTATTCTAGTATAAAATATTTGGAATTTCAATTTATTAAAGTAATTAAATTAGAATTTTAGTATAAACATTGAATGGGAATAAAATTTTACCTTAAAAAGGAGTGTTGATGTCTGAATACAAAAGGAAATATAACCTGACATTTTCATCGATATCACTTTATTATAAATCTTGATGGTGTGGACATGTTTTGATTGAAATTTGAAAAGAAAAATCAAGCAAAGTTTGATTTCAAACAGAAAGAAAAAAAATTGTGGCTCTTAAATTTTTCATTCACTTATGCCTTTGTCATGAGATAGAAATATGCTTAATATTCACAAACAAGCAACTAACATCGGTGAAAACAATAAGATCTGGACAAGAATAACAACCTAAACGTCTCCACTTTAGGAAAGGAAATTTGTAGTATAAGTTACTCCCTCCGGTCCACAATAAGTGATCAATTTGCTTTTGACACGTACATTAAAAAAATACTAAATTCTATATAAAAATATTTAATATGACTAAACTACCCTTAGTTAAATATTTAATGTGAGGAGTAAGACAACTTTTTAGGGATATATACATAAGAATAATTCTGTAAAAACAAATTGAATTTTTTCTTGATTATATAAATGGATACTTATTTTGGACCAAAATAAAAAAATAAATTGATCACTTATTATGGACCGGAGGGAATATTTACCAAAAAAATAATAGTATAAGTTTTCGACCAAACTCTTTATGATAAGCTATGGGAGTGTACTGACATTGGCATTTCTATCGAGTATTTCTGTGTATTGGGAGTTGGGACGCACATTCCGCTGATGCTCTCGGCCTCTAGTCCACTGCTTGACCCATGCTTTAGTGCGGTGTGTTCAATAAAAATTGGTAATAATTTTTTTTTTTTTACGAATTGAGAAAAAAGTACTGCAACATGAAAAAACTACATGTTGGATTAGAAGGCCCCAACACCAGTCAGCACCTAATTAACTGGGAAGTTGACCGTATTAGTAGTTCCTCCGATGTTTGCGAATAAAATTTTTTGGACAAATATCCTAGGAACTATTTTTTCTAGACTTGTTTTGGATTGTAATAGTAACAGCCTTAATACTTTGAATTGTAATAGTAACAGCCTTAATACTTTGAATTGTAATAGTAACAGCCTTAATACTTTGGCTCAATTTCCGAATTTAATAGGGGATCCTAACACCCCTCTCATGTATCTATTCTAACTGTTTAATTAAAAATAGAATCAATCATTTAAACTAGAAAAAATCACTCTAAACATGAGATACTAAATTCATCAACAATGGCAAACATATATCTATGACAAGAAATCAGCAAAATCTCACGAACTAATATATATATATATATATC